AAACCTGTGAGTGAAGAAAGAGAAGAAGGCCAAGAGATAGAACTGTAGGAAGACACAGATGTGAGCAATGCAGGTGTTGAAGGCTTTGAATCGAGCTTCCTTCTGAGGCAGCTGGAAGACGGTGATGAAGATTCGCACATAGGAGAAGGTAATGAAGACTATGTCAAACCCTAAGATGGCAAAGGCAACAAGGAGGCCACAAACTTTGTTGATTCTGATATCTTCAGCTGCCAATTTCACAATGGCCATGTGTTCACAGTAAGAGTGGGAGACAATAGTAGTCCGGAAGTACTTAAGGCGGCATTTGATGAGCAATATGGATGGGGATACAAGCATGAAAGCCCTGAGTAATGTACCAAATCCAAGGTAGGTCACGAGTTGAGGAGAGAAGATGGTGGCATGTCTCAGGGGGTTGCAGATGGCCACATAGCGATCCAGAGCCATGGCCAGGAGGATGCCTGATTCTGTTGCCTGGAATGAGTGGATGAGTTCCATTTGCAGCAAGCATGCATCAAAGGAAATCTGTGGTATATGAAACCAGAAGATGCCCAACATTTTGGGGAGAATGCATGTGCTAAGTGCAATGTCTGTGACTGCCAAAATGGCCAAGAAAATGTACATGGGCATGTGGAGGCTCTTTTCACTTTTGATTATCACTAAAATTAGGGAGTTCCCAATCAAAGCGATGATGTACATGGCACAGAATGGAATTCCGATCCAGCACTGCACTGACTCCAGGCCAGGTATCCCAACGAGTGTTAATACAGAAGGCATAAAGACTGAGCCATTGATTGTCAGCATTGTGAATCTGTCAGTAGAACAGTATAGCCGTATAATGCTTCAACTTCTGCTCCATACTAAGACTGGATACATTGAATATAAGAGAAATTAAATCATTATTAAAATGTATTCTAAGTAAGTTAGGAGTATACTATCCTTTCTCATCTCAAATAATCCTCTCCATTTTTGTCTCCCTTTTCATGGGAATTTAAAATGAACTAGTAAGTTCTAAGTTGTCATTACAGTATTAGTAATGGCAAAATTGCTTTGTAACTTTTTTCTTTATTCAGAACACTGGACTCAAAAATGTCCTTTTGCTTATTATCTATTGCCTGTGTGTTGCTATGGACTTCTCAGTGTAAGTTGTAAAATGATGGTATTAGATGATTTCGCATCAACCTTTAGTAGACACAAATAATCCACCAGACTGTGAGATTTCCCAGTCTTCTCTAAAGAAGGCTAGTGTTTTTGGAACATCTTGCAGGCCTATCGCTTTACTGCTGGTGTCTTTGACAAGTCTCTTCATAGAAGACTCTCTAGAGCTATATCCAAATTAATCTGTTAAAGGTTTAATATTTTCTCAAGTCCAATGATTTATTGTACACATCTACTAATTCTGTGAGAATTTTTAACATGAATAGTTGATCAACTTCAAGAAAGAGCAAACACATTTATGTGAAATGAGAAATATATATATATGTATGCATACACACACACACACACATATATATATATATATATATATATATATATATATAGCCTGACTATTAAAATACTATTATTTGCAGAATTTTCTAAATTCTCTATGTGCAAAACAGAAGGACTGTGGAGAAGTTTATCATGTTAAACTGAAGAATAGCAGATATTTCTGTTAAAATAGATCACTATTTACCAATGAATAGACATAAAGTTCCATCTAATCTAACATTGAGTTACAAATGAAGACAGAGACATCTGTGGGCTATGTGCTTGCTTTTTTTTCTTCTACTTTTACATTCATGGTACAGAACCTCAAACCCCCCAGACTTACCTGAAGCTATCTGATGAGACACACACCACTCATGCTGTAGGATTTTTGTGATAGTTGGTCAGTGAAGAATTAGGGGTTTATACTACAGTATGTCTCTAGGGACCTGAGCTTTCCTAGTCCCTGGTGCCTCTGAAGGTCGTCCTACAGCAAAGGTGACAAACGACACAGCCCGTGGCTGCAGCCAGCTCAGAGACAGAGGGTAGAATAATGTGTGAAACCCTGTGTTTATTTCCGGCACTGAAAATGGAAAACAGAAAGTGTTTGAGAAATGAGGCAAGTAATTAACTAACAGATGCTGTTTACCAGAATTTTTTTCTTTCTCTAACTTCTCTATCCCTTTGGATCATAGAACCAAAATTACTCTCCTTTTGGAAACCAATGACATGGCGAGCTCCTGAGATGACAAAATCACGTGTAAGCACTCATTACAAAATAACGACTTAAAGGTGAAAATAAAAGCACCTTGAGTATACCATCCTTATTTGAATCTTCACTAAGTCATCTTCAAAAAATATGGAAGTCTTCAGAGAGATGGAGCTCTTACGTCCCTTATGGAAGTCTCTCAACTGCCTGGATCACACAGAACACTTACATGTCCACCTTTGCTAAAGTCAGTAGAATTTTTGTCAGTTCCTCACTGAATGTGCCATGCATGGAGGTTTTTAAGTAGTTTGTCCATGCCCTAGGGGGAATACGGGAGCTTGAGGACAAATAAGTCAGTGTCAGCTGCACCGGGAGAGAAACAAGACGTCTTTAGATGTGGTTCTTGCGCAACCAGTAGTGATTTTTTTTTTCAGACCCACAAATGAGGATGGCTTTGGAAAGTAAGTGTACTTGACAACTTCAATCAACTTTTAGCATTTGTAAGTCTTCCTCTTGAACCTGCGTGACCTAAAATCCTTCTGTATTTAACCCAGCTCTCATTATACTATTCTCATAAAATTTTTGAATTGGTGATTGGCAATTTTGTTAAAATTTTGTAGCATTTGTAATATCAATACCCTCAGAACTAATGTCATGACCAGAATTTGCCTAACAGAAAGAAGGGTGTGAACTTTCAAAGAAGACTTTAAAAGTTAAACTTCCAAAAACTAAGAGTAAAATGTGATTACTAGGGACTGTGTACAGAGAGAAACTGGGAAGAGATATGTTAAAAAAGCAAAAAAAAAATATTTAACAGGTTTAGTAAGTTCATGGTGACTAAAGCTAAGAATAACATGTTGCACATTTTAAATTGCTGAGAACTCTATTTTTGATTTATTATCATGAATAACATATGTTCAATATGTGGGCATCTCCAATCTATACCACATGCATAGATTGAAATTCATTGTATTTTTTAAATGTTTGTTTTAATATCCTTCATGATAGGAAGGGGTCTTGAAGCTTGGATTCAAGAGATGAAAGGAGTAAGATTCCCATTTTCTGCTTATGTAGGAAATATTCTACCAACCCTGACTGCTTTCATTCTGCTTTAGAGATGATTCATAGTATGTGTCTGGGCTACCTTAAACACGAAGCTTTTTTAAAAGGTGATACTATGAGTGACACCACCAAACACAGAAAACAATAATAATAATAATAATAATAATAATAATAATATAAACAATTATACATCAACATAAATTAATTTAATAGATTTTATTAACAAAATCAGAAGTACACTCGTATACTTCCCTTAATGTATGTGAAAGCTTATTTTATTGAGATTTCCACACTTTATTGATAGATTGGAGGAATATGAAAAATTTCCCACCAAAATAAAAGCTATATGAGACAAGCCCCTAAACAATATTATTCTCAATAGTGGCATGTTAAAAATTTAACATTGGGCCAGGTGTGGATGCACACCCCTTTAATTCCAGCACAGAGGAGGCAGAGGCAAGTAGATCTTTGTGAGTTTGAGGCCAGCGTGATCTACATAGTGAGTTTCAGGCAGACCAGGATTATATAGTAAGACTTACTTGTCCAAAATAAAATAGTCTTTCCTTTAATTCCTGAAAGAAGAGAAAGGGAAAAAAGGGACTTTGAAAGCTAGGGTTGGATAGAAATGCTGGGAAATAGTATCTCCTGGACATGACCAGGACCTTGCACTTGTGAGCCCATAGCAGCTGTGGCTGTCCGCACAAGTCCCACACAGGATCAATCAACACTTCAACAAGGATAGGAGAGGGACGCCTGCGACCCCACCCTATCCAAGGAACTTTGGACAGGAGATGGCCACTGAGGAAGGAGAGGCCGTTTTCTTCAGCAGTGTGGCCCATAGCACTTTGCTTCACGGTTAGAGCTGTTTGTTCTCTGTTTCTCACGAGGCAAAGAACACATGAAAGTTCATTCGCAGCTCTTGGTACATGTGAGTCTAATGTAAATATATGAAAATGTCTGTGCGTATATATGGATAAGCAAGTGTATTTATATACACATGTAAACAGAATAATAACAAACTCTTAACAGGTGGCAAAAATGTTAAAAGGTTCAAGTGGAATTTCTAAATGTCGCTGCTTTGTCTTTTTGTATAATTCAGATCTTTTTGACAGTTTCATGGCTTTTATTAGATTTTAACAGAAAAAGGAGATTTTTAGCAAAGTGAATTACTGTAGAACACATACACATATGTCGTCTGAGCAGAGCCTTTTTCAGTGTGAGTTTCCATGTGGACATTCCAATAACACTTCTGCTGAGATCTCTTTTTGACTCAGGCACAGAATTTTCCAGTCATTTATTCTTGCAAAGCCTCCATTTCTGGAAGAATGCTTCTTTAATGACTTAGAACAGAAAACCCCCACACATATGTAGAAAATTAGCTTTTATAAAACTCAGGTGGACAGATGGTTCAGAGATTAAGAGCATTGTCTGCTCTTCCAAAGGTGCTGAGTTTAATTCCCAGCAACCACATGGTGGCTCACAAGCATCTGTAATGGGTCTGGTGCCCTCTTCTGGCCTGTGGGCATACACACAGACAGAATATTGTATACATAATAAATAAATATTAAAAAAAAAACAGGTGATATTGAGAGTTAACTTTATCTTAGTAAATGTATTTAGCTCATTATTGACAGCTTATTTAATGTATATATTGTGTAAGTTTATATTTAAAAGCAGCTTTGTGATCATCTATAAGCATATATATATATATATATATATATATATATATATATACTCTCAAGGTAGAGGTAGGCAAATCTCTGTGAGTTAAATGTCAACCAGGACTGCACAGTGAGACCCTGACTCGAAAAATAAAAAAAAAATGAGATATTAGGGAGTCTAAAAATATGTGGTTTTTGTTATAGTAATTTAAGATAGAAAATAAGTGCTGACAAAAATATCATAATATAGAGCTTTGTGCTATTGGTCCACGCATCTGCCAGTGGGCATAGAAATGCTTTTACATTTCAGCAGAAAATAAGACTCACTTTGGAATATGATCAAAATACAATGTACATAATCCTCAAAGAATTAATAAAAATAATTTTAAGATATTCAATGGCTTTTTGTTTTCATGTCTTTTCTCTACATAAAAAATTGTATTCTTCACAGTTATTTATATTCAAGTATAAAATAACTTAAAATACACACTGAAAAGTCACTAAAAGTTCCACAATCTCTGGAATATTAACCAATGTATTGAAAACCACTATGGATATCATCATTTTAAACACTAAGGGCATCTAGATAAATTTTATTACTCCTATTTTTCACAGGGCAGACATTTAAAAAGAGAGTTTTATTCTGGAATATGCACTCTTTAGCATCATTCATCATTTTAACAACATTTAGTCACTGAGGAGAAAAGCAAAACCACTCGATCTTGGATTTGCTTGGTCTTCACCCCATAAATGATGGGGTTGAGCATCGGGGGTACCACCACATAGAGGTTGGCCACTAGGATGTGAATGTGGCGAGGGATAGTTTTGCCTCCAAAGCGATGGGCAAAAAATGAAAAGAATGCAGGTGTGTAGAACATAAGAATGACACAGATGTGGGAGCCACATGTGTTAAGTGCCTTATATCTGGCAGCCCAAGAAGGAATATGAAAAACAGTGCAAAGGATCATAGAATAGGAAATAATGATGAGTATTATATCCAGCCCTGTAGACAAGAGGGCCATAGTCAGACCATATATGATGTTGACAGTGATATTGTCACATGCCAATCTGGCAATGCCCATATGCTCACAGTATGAATGTGGAATTATGTTTCTCCCACAATAAAGAAGTCGATATACCAGGAAGATGAATGGAAGACAGATGAAAAGGCTCCTGACCACGGCTGCTGTACCAATCTTGCCAATGACTGAGGAGGTGAGGATGGTGGTGTACCTCAGTGGGTAACAGATGGCCACATAGCGGTCAAATGCCATGGCCAGAAGAACAGCAGACTCTGCCACAAAGATAAAATGTATGAAGAACATTTGGGACACACAGCTACCAAACGATATACCCCTGGAATGAAACCAGAAGATCGCCAACATCTTGGGGGCTGTAGCCGTGGAGAGCAGGACATCTGCTAAGGCCAGCATGGAAAGGAAGAAATACATGGGCTCGTGGAGGCTGCGTTCAGTCACTATAAGGAAGATCAAGAGGACATTGCCTATGACAGCCACAATGTACATAGAACAGATGGGAATGGCTATCCAGGTATGCAGATCTTCCAGTCCTGGGATTCCAATCAGAACATACCACACATCCTGTGGACTGGTGTGATTGTGAAGGGAGGAGGCCACCTTCATTGTTTATCCAGGCCCTGGTTCTTTAACAAGTACAAGATTGAAGATTGAAGAATACAACCAAGACTGAATGAGGTCTGATCATATTTTTCGCCAATATTCACATCTATCTGGAAAACATCAAGGTGGGTGGACTAGAATAAACATGCACTCCTTTGATTAAGGAATCAATTATTGCATCTTGAAAGAAATGATTATCATTTAATATGTATTTTACCATCTTCCATATATAGCCTTATTAAATTCTTATGATAACCTACTGGAATGTTCTCTATAATAACTTATAACATCCACATTATTATTATTTACATGGACAGAAAAGGAAGGCCCCATCAGCTTTGAGTCTTTCTTCCTAGAGCCCACTAAACCCAAAACTCTGAGAGAAACCGAGAGCTCTAATTTCAGGGGTCATCTGTTACTGTTGTACCAAGATCAAACTAGATACAGAGTATGTGCATCATCAAGTCTCGCACTCCTCATATCCCTAAAGAAAATAGACACAAAGCTGAAATCTGTCTCCCATGAAATAAAGTTTGATAAGGTAGATTTCAAGCCTTATAACACAATATGCCCTCTTCTATGCTGAGTGATCAATGACTTGGTGCTAAGCCTTGTATTAGCCATTGGAATCACAAAAAAGAATTAAGTGTATTCCTGTCTGCCAACTAACCCAGTTCTCAAATTTATATGCGATTTTAAAGATCTAAACTATTTGTAACCCCAGATTTTACTGGGCAAAACCTGCAGAAGCATACTAAGTAGTTAAGAAAAATTATACTACAGTCTATTGAAAATTAGACAATATGTCTTCATATTGTTAAGCACAGCACAGAAACAAATGGTGAGAACCACACTAATCACATAAATCCCCTCACACTGTGAAGAATAGGTGGTGTTTAATAAAAAGAAGAAAAGTGTATTGCTGATAACAAGCTCCAAATGAGGGGATAAAAGAAAGGGTCAAGACATTACTACGTGTGTGTGTGTGTGTGTGTGTGTGTGTGTGTGTGTGTGCGTGCGTGCGCAGATAAAACATGATATAGGCATAGATATGAGATTTGTAATTAACAGATAGCACCAATATTCTCCCATTACTTTTCTCCAACAAAAGGTGAGAAAGGTTTTATTCTCTAAATGACACATGAACGTGCAAAATGATTATCTCACAATCTACTGAATAAAGAAAACAAATCTTCGCTGGCTGTACATCCAACCAGAAATTAATATTGTGAATATGTTAAGAGCCCAAAAAACTAATATGGAAAAAGTTATCCATTGAGGGAACCCTTGGGCTGAATAGACAGTTATCAACAGAGAAAAAAAGACAATAAATGTTTGAAAGACTATGAGGCATTTTTAAGGAAATACAAATGAAAACTCCTCTGAGATTCACTGCATCTCAGTCAGAATACTGAAACTATGGCATTATGCTGAGCAAACTAAGCCAGATCCAGACAAATTTTGCATGTTTGCATGCTTCTTATTATATGTGGAACATCGGTTTAAATGTTATAGATGTGAGGGGAGGGATCAGGTCATCAAAACGAGGTAGGTACTATGAGAGAGGATGAAGCGATAGAAGGAGGGCAGAGGTGGTGCTCGAGAAGGCTGTGGAATATCTATGCAATAAGTGCAGGGGGAAACTGTTGTAAGAGAATAGAGTCTGTCAAGGGGGGAGCAGAGGAGAAGGGAGGGTAGTGAGGATGCTAAGTATAACCATGTAGAAGGAACTGTGTATCATGACAGACACTCAGAAGTAAGTATACTGGTATAGCTGGATGATTATGTAACAATAAGACACAAAATGTATGCTTATCAAAAAAATTAATTAAAGGAGGAGCAGCTGCCCTTTATACCTTGATTCCACTACAATTGGGTACTCCAAATATGCACCATTATGCTGTATTGTTGCCTCACTTCATTTTCTATTAGTACAAAATAAGCTCTTTTCTCCAATTAAAACATTAGACACTGCTTATTTAATTATAGTTAAATATATAACGCAGAGTCAGTCAATTTTGCCTTATCATGAGTTGGCATGAAGTTCTTTAAAAGTAATGGGCATCTATGAATCTGTTCTTCTCACATAAACCAAGTGGTAAATGGAACTGTGCAGGACAGTAGAACAGTCACTGTGGAAGAAACTGGCTATTTATCAGAAGAGTAAACTGATAATTCATCAGAAGGAAAGCAAACAGACCATTCAGGTTTTGGGTTTGTTTTTTGGGGTTTTTTTGGTTGGTTGGTTGGTTGGTTTTTTGTTTTTTTTTTTTTTTTTTTTTTTTGTAGTAAGCATTAGCCAACTCTAATCTTTTGTTTTGAAAGACTTGGATAAATCCTGACCCCTCTAGCGGAAAGAATAGAGCTAAAAATCTAGCAGGAAAAACAGAGTCAAAAATCTAGCAGAGAGAAAAGAACCAAAATTCTAGGTGAGACGGTTCAGTGACTCTGTTCCAGGAACTAGCTGGCCATAAAGTTAGATTATAATCTTAATAATCTTGATAAACGGGGAGTTACCTCCTTGTAATTATCACTGGTATTTTTGGAATTTTCCAATGACGCCCTCCCTACCTCCTTTGGGTTGTGATTTCTTCCCCTAAATACTCCCTCTCCCAGTTACTCAGGATCGAACTCCTCTACCCCTGAGTGGGAAATGAGTTTTGGCCCCAGCACACCAGTTCCTGTCAATAAACCTCGTGTGATTGTAGCAAGGACGGTCTCTCGTGAGTTCCTGAGGGGTCGTGTTATCCCAAGACTTGAGTGAGAGTCTCCCAACTCTGGGGGTCTTTCAGTTTCATTTGTCTTTCACTGAGATACTAAGATCAGTAGTTACCTAAACTGTTGATCTGGTTCCTTGTAGTGTTATGCTCCAACAATATTGATGGGATATTCTGACTGGGACTGCATGCAACTGGACCTGAACCCAGCCAGCTAGATGTACTTGGCTGTGTGACGGAGACTGTTACTTTGAAGTTTAATTCTCTTGCTGATAAATTACCCGAAAGATTAGAACCAATATGAATCCATTCTCAAGCTAATATTTGAGGATAATAGCTACATAAGTCAGATAAATTTCTATTGCAGCAGCAGATGACATTAGGGAACTCATAAAATTATCACCATTAAGATAAAAATAATTGCTACTTTAAACAAATTTAACTTTCTGAACTTCAGATTAAATTTGATTATAACATACTCCCAAAGCCAAGATGTATTACCTTAAGCTGACTATAACAATCTGTCATCTAAAAGCATCACCTGTTTCTAGAACATTCAGTGACGCAAGCATTGGCTTAAAGTAGACCTCTGTTCCTACCTAGACACCACTAAGATCCTTACCACATCCAGAGCTAACACCTCTGAGTTTCGGTTTGTAATATGCATCTGGACCAGGACCTGATACTCTAGTGTTCTAGTGCTCAGGGCTTTTTGTGGAAATTAGTCACATTCATCTGTGTATACATAAATTGTTTTTACTAAACTTTTTAAATGACTAAGCCTTGTTTACCACTATGTAAACAAGTGCCTATATTTATTTTAATGTGCCTATATTTAGTGTGCCTTGATAGCAAAAAAAAAAAAATATGATCATTGTGTAAATACAATCTAAATGGGTAAAAGTCTTATCTGATGACTCAGTTACTCAACAGAAGATAGCTGCAGATCAACTTGCCTAGAGTTAAGTGGTGTACCCTATGGTGAACACTGAGGAACACCTTCTGACATTTTCTGGTTTTCTCCTGTCCTCTGCCACAAGCGTCCTTTGAACATAACAATGTACTTACTTGTATCTATTAGAGGATTGAAGATACTTAGCAGGTTAGGAGAAAAGGTAACAGCAAGGAGATTCCCAGAGTCCAGCCAGCAAATTCAGACCACTTACTTATACCTCTTTTTAGGTATCTCTTGGGCCCTAGATCTTTAGCCCAAGAGCATTGAGTTGTATCCTACCATTGGAGAATTGCCCAGCATTGGCTCTTCCCCTGAGAGCTTCCTACCTTCTCCTCCTCCAGAGTCTGAGAAACATTTCCTCTGACTAGCATTCCCAGGCACTAAAATTAATACATGTTCAGGGTCTTTTGCAAGTCAGAGACATGTATTAGCATGGTCAAGTGCTGTTTCGCAGAGGCATCTACTGTGATGGGACTCTAGGTACCATACGGTAGGCGTACTGCATGAGGCTTAGAACCCACTATCAAGAGTTCTTTTTCATCTCATGCTCCTTCAAATCTTAGGGCTCTTTCTTTTTAATTCTGTTTCCCAGGTCGCATGGTAAGATTAGGCAGGATTAGGCAGGATTAGAAGGCTCAGAAATGCACTAAGATGGCATAGAAATCTATTGTTGTCTATTGAATATTTTAGTATTTTAGATTCGTTAAGAGATTAATCTTTATTTTTGTTAATTTTGGGTCTGTAAGTGAGTATGAATTCCAGGAAGGCTGAGGCCTGAAGTTCTCCTGAACCTGCAGTAAAGGCTATTGTGAGCTACTATTATTAGGCTAATGTGGATGCTGGGAAGGAACTCCAACCATCTCAATTACCATTCCAATTACCCACCTTTCTATGAAAGACCAGGACCACCTGCCTAAGCACAGACCTTCCATGGGCTAGGCCCTCCTGCATCTGTTAATAATCTTCCAGAAGTATGCCCTTCCCACAGGTCAATCGCATCTAGGTAATTCTTTGAGACTTTCTTCTCGGATGACTCAGTGCTGTTTCAGGATGCTTACTAAAGCATACCGGTAGGGGGCAGAAGTGTTCCACTGATTTTCTTTTTTTCTTGTTACTTCAAAAATACTTGAAGCAAGTCTGTTTTTAAATGTGGTCAGGTCAGTTAGGGTTTTGATATGGCTGAAAACATAGATAAGAACCTCTTACAAAGTTTCTCCAAAGACCAGGGCTCTTAGGGGTTTCAAATATGCTGATACCAGACAGAATAGTTGACCACAAACTTAAAGAATTCGCAAAGACGTGTGCACTGTTATGACAATTATTTTATAAATGCTCTTTTCAGTTATTAGCATTTTCTCTATTATTTTATTCACTCCATATTTTATGTCTATAAAGAATATGCTAATCTTATCTGAAACATAAAGTATTTTGTAT